ACATCAGGAAGGTACGTCCCGGCGGGCTGGGAGACCTCCTAACCCCCTCCGTTCCTTCCCCCAAGCCTTCCCGGCGCTCCCGCAGGGAAGAAGCCGGCAGAACGGAGGAAAGGACCAGGGGACAGGCTCAAGCCCTGGTGCTTTCCCCAGTAACTCTCCCCCACCTTTCTTCTTCCCTTCCCCGAGCAGTGCATGCCCTGCGGTCCCAGGAACAAGGGCCGCTGCTTCGGTCCCAACATCTGCTGCGGAGAAGAGCTGGGTTGTTACATCGGGACCTCCGAAACCCTACGGTGCCAGGAGGAAAACTTCTTGCCGACACCCTGCGAGTCGGGACGCAAACCCTGTGGCGGCAGCGGAGGGAGCTGCGCGGCCGCTGGCATCTGCTGCAGCAGCGGTGAGGGCAGCGCCGGGTCCGCGTCTGGGGCTCTTGTCACAGGGGGTCCTCCCATGCGAGAGGTTACGATACAAAAGATATAAAAGGATCATCTTTGTCCCATCCATCTGTCCATCCATCTCCCCAACAGCCAGGGCCACCCCACTCAGGGCTGATCCCGACCCCAGGGAAGGCGATAACAGACCGTGAGGTTTTGGGGAAGGGGGAAAGCCGACAGCAACCAAATTTCGGGGGCTGAGGAAGGGGCAGGACTCCTGTGCTGCACGGCAGCCCACACCTCCTCCTGCTTTGGTTTTCCAAAAATCCCAGCCTCCTCCTTAGTTAGATGCTACCAGAGAGCCCGGCTACAAATCCTGGGGAGCTACAGGGCACAAAGTGAACACGGTCTTGCTCGATGTTATTAAAAAGCAGCGTCGGGGGGGCCTCGGGGGGCTGGTTCGTGCCATCTCATCTCAAGCGGTGCTCTTCCCTTCCTCCCCCCGCGCAGAGGGCTGCGTGGTTGACTCATCCTGCGACCAAGAAATGCTCATTGCATAGAGCACCCGGGAGAGAAGAACCTGCAGGATCCCTTATCTATCGAGCCGTACCAGCCCCGCATCAGGCCAAGAACAGACGAGCCAAGGTCTGTGACTCAGATTTAAGTGATGATCTTAATTAGAAATAAAACTTGTACAGAAAAAAAAAAAAAAAAAAAGGTCTGTGTTTTTTGTGCGCTTGCCCGGTTTAGCTGCAGACTCAGGAGGGCTGGCTGGAGAGAAAAGGCCACTTTTAGGAAAGCATAGATAAAAAGCAAGGATTTAAGGTCGATTCCTTACAGCTGGTGTTTTAGCCGAGTGAGGGGGACCGAGGGAGCTGCGGTCAGCCCACCTGGGCTCTGCCTGAACCGCAGCAAACTCCAGGCTGGTGTTGGGCAGCCCAAACCCAGCGGGTTCAGGGCAAAGCTGAGAGCGCAGCTCGGTCTGCACGACCACAAGCAGCCAGAACCGCCGAAGAGGACCCACAGTAATTACAGTGTCATCTACAACCGAAGCCCCAGGTGATGAGTAAAGTAAGGCTGAAGGGAGGGGGGAGAGAAAAGGAGACACACAAAAGCCAGTATCATTTAGACGTCCTCTGCACAATTTTCTTATTTAGCCACACCAACAGATGGGCAAAGGAGGGTTTAAAGGACGAGCAGGAACAACAGGTCCTTCCACCACAACAAAAACCAGAGAAACAATTAATTCTTTCCCCCAACAACAAAAAGCGGAGGGTCAGCGTTTCCTACAGAGCCGTCCAGACCTCGTTTTCTTTCAAATGCATCTAGAGGGGTCGGCGCGCAGCTGGTGCCGCGGCTACGCCGGGGAGCTCAGAGCCAGGATCTGCCTCGGGACCGTTCCTGCTCCACTTCCCCCCTTCCCCGCGCTTCGTGTGAAAGCGGGAGGGAATCCAAACACGTGGGAGGTGGAATCACAGAGAGTCAGAGCTGCAGGTACACCAACACCAGCAGCTTCTCCGGCAGCTTCTCCGCCCCCTCGCAGGGCTGAGACAGGCTGCTGGTGCCTCTGCTGCTTGTCCTGAGCCCAAATTTCTCCTTCACCCTCCTTCCTGCAGGCGTTAACCCTTCACAAGAACCACAGCCAGACCCACAGGCTTTCTCTAACAATTCTGTGGTTGATTTATACATTAAAAGGAAATAAAATGGCCCATAAGCAGAGCTTCTGGATGGAAACCAGGCCGGGAGCGCTAAGACAACACTGTCCGTTTGACGATCCGCCCGTCCTTGTCGATGGCGAAGTTGTAGTTGCGAGGGTTGTCCAGGCACTCCTCAATCCGCGCGTCCAGGTTCTCGGGGGTGATGAACATTTTGGCTTCCTCCTGAACGAAGGACAAGTACCGGCTCTTAACCCACGTGTACAGACGAGTCGCTACAGACAGCGCACGAGCTGCCAGTGCCTGCAGAGCTTCACGGATCTCTGAGAGACCCCGAGATGCCACCAGCATCGCCAGGATCTCAGCAGAAGCTGAGTCCAGAATGAGGAAACCTTCATTCTCTCACTCGGGATTATTCCACCCTCTGTTTTCAGAGCTCTCACTCAACCTCTATCCCATCCACACGCTGTCAACACTCCTGGAAGGCGCTAACACGTGTGTTCCCAGCTACCAACATAAAAATCTCTGGGAAATAAGCCTACAGCTTCCACATCGCTCCCACGGGCTGCCATCAAATCCCTCACAGGGACTGCCGGCAGCTTTCTCTCCAGCAGGCACCAGTTGCGCTTACCTGCAGCTGGAGAACCTCCTTCTCCTTCTCCTTCAGGAAAGCCTCCATTATCCTGGCCTTGTTCTCCGCAGCCTGTAGCTTCTGCCTCTTCTGTTCTTCCTCTTCTTTCCTAATTCTTTCCTCTCTGCCATGTGGAAAGGGGGGAAAAAAAAAAACCCCAACAAGGTTTTGGTGAATGCTCACACCCTGCGGGGTGGCACTTTGGTGAGACACACTAATCCCTTGGGATGCAAAGCCTGCAACTTTGGGTGCAGCCAGAGCAAACGGGAAGGAGCGGAGCGGCCGCACCGGGGAAGAGAGCCCGTGCTGAACCCAGCGCGAGAGAAAAATTCCGGCAAAATCTTAACGCAAAAGCTTTCAGGCAGACCGGCACTGACATGCATGGTGCGGAGCTGAGACCCAGTAAGGTCTGGCTCTGTTTGGGAGCTCCAAGTCAGAGCACGCGATTCTCCCGGCAGGATCTGGATGCAGAAGCTCAAGTGCTTTGTGACAGGCCAAGGGACAGCCAGCGGGGATGGGACAGACGGGATTTTCCCTTTAACCTTCTCTCGCTTTCGGGATTCAGCAGACACTGATTTTCTTGGAAGCACGGACACAATTCCTGTGCCTGACCAGAGGATGGCTCCTTGGGAGCGGCGCGGGAGGGAACACAGAGAAACTTATCCTCCCGATGACACCCACCTCTGCAGGGAGCAGGAGGTTGTCCAGAGCTCAGTAACTTACCCCCCAGCAGCGAGGGGGGCTGAAAACACGACCACTGCGTGTGCAGATTTATTTTAAAAAGGTCAAAATTTAGGTCAAGTGTCTTTGGAAAAAATTAAGCCTGACTCTAACCGACCCGGTGTTGAATTTAGTTCTGCGCTAGTAAAAATCAAAGCCACAATGGGAAGCAGCCCCCCGGCTTCGCGCGGGGCCGGGCTGACCTGCGTGCCCGCTGCCGGGCG